AGGGGCCCATCCCCGCCCTTCAGGGAAGGAGGGACCTGAGCTCCTGTTTGTCTCTTCCCCGGACTCTGGTACGGGGCTTCAATAAATTGCCGCTCTTTAATGGTTACGAATGTAACTGAATTTGCTGGCTGCGTCCTACGTGACACACGTGTCATTGGATTGGGCTCTGGTGCTTGTTAGGAAACATGGGGCAGGCAACTTGGTTTCTTCGTACCTCACTTTTCCCATCTGTAAAATGGGGGCACTCGCAGCTCTGTCCAGGATTTGGTGGGCTGTAGGACACCTGGGCTCTGGTGGCTGTGGTATCTCCGGCGCCAGCCATAGGCAGCCGCCCCCAGGCCGAGTGAAACCTCCCTGCGCGCACGCAGGCACTGCTTGTCCTGATTCCCTTCCCAGCCCGAGTGTTTCCTCCCGGGATTGTCTTTCCAGTCAGCGCACAGCAGCTCTGTGAGGCCCGCACGTTCCTGTCCGTGTGCGTGACAGCTGGGGACGGAGTTCTGAGTCACCTCCCGCCGTGCTCCCACTGTCCCGGTATGCCCCATCCAGCCTTGACATCCAGCCGACTTCATACACTTCGCCTACCTGCTCCGCCTTCTCGTGGCCGCTCTGGGCTGTGGGCAAGCGCTGTGACTCAGACGCCGCACTGCCTCTGTCTCCAAGTCTGGCCTGAGGCGTCTTCCTCACGCCTGGAGTCCAGCTGTCCAGCCTGGGGACCGTGGTACTTCCTCGTGTCCAGTTGCTCAGATTCTGTCTCCTTCCTCCCAGTCTGGGCATTTCTAGAACTCACCCTTCTGCATCCTCCGTTCCACCACGGTGGCCTCTGAGGCTGCCTTAAAAGTCCTGTGGCGATGCGTCCCCCTACCTTTTCTGCCTTCATCTGAAGCCTCACCTTCCACCCCAGAGACCCCACATGTGCTGTGACTTGCTCGAGGGCTGTGCAGGTCGTGTCCTGGGGCAGGCCCTGTGCAGACTGTGACCTTTGTGCCTGTTTCCCTCATGACTGTTTCTCGCGCGTGCTAACATGGCTTCTAAACTCATTTTTTAGGGCAGAAGGAGCAACCAGAGGGAGCTTTCTGTTGCAACATTGGGGTCTGTCTTTTAAAGTCGTGTCACAGACTTCACACTCAGAAGTGAGGGGAGCAGCTTCTGCACTGGGGGCCCCCATTTCTCTGAATTACTCCTGAGGCTCCCCCTTCTGAGGACAGGCTCTGGCCGCCAGGGAATGCTGCCCGAGGGCTGACGAGCTGCTCGGCCTCCTCCCGGAGTGACCCCGGAGTGACGCTGCCCTCAGCCTGCTCACTCTCCGCCCTGGCGTGTCCTGCTGCTCTGGGGGCTGGTGGTCCCACTGCACTTTGCGGGCTGTGGCCTCCACCCCCTTCAGCCTCAGAGCTGCTCATCAGGGTAGCCCAGCCACCCTTGCTTTCCCGGCCGGGTTGGGGGCAGATACAGGGGCCCGGGGCCGCTTGGCCCCTGCTGCTCACACTGGGAGACTCGCGCCCGGGGTCCCGGCGTGCCCATAGCTGCCCTGTCAGGTCAGTGACTGTGCCTGGTTCTCTTCAGAGCGAGGTGGGGAGGCAGGCCACATTGGCCATAGTCGCCATGGAAATTTGATAAAACGGACCGTCCTACGGGCAGAAAGGGCACACGGGCTCGTAGGCGGCGGGCGGGCGGGCGGGCGGAGCAGAGTAGCGGGGCCTCCCTGCAGCTGCGGTCTGCACTTGAGGTGATGCGCAATTAAAAAGTCCGTAGAAATCACAAGCAGAGGAAGCTGCCCCCGCTGGTGGTGCTAAGCCTGAGGAAGGGCCACCCCTAAACTCGAGCCAGTGGCCGGCACCCCCACCCCCCACGAGACCCTGGGCAGGACTGCCCGGAGGCAGAGGCAGCTGTACTCAGGTGTGATGGGGTTCGTGGTGGCTATTTTGCTGTCACTTCTTCTTAGTCTTTCCCTTTCGGGGGCCCCTCCCAGCACAGCAGCTACTGCCACAGACTGCTGTCTGCGCTTCAGCCATTAGAGTTGGGGAGACCTGGAAGGTCAGGCGCAAGGGCCTTTGGAAGCAGCCTCGGTGGTTTGTGGTGCAGCAGAGAGATAAGAACACACTTGTGGGCACAGCCCCGTGCCAGACAGCACTGGGGACGGAGAGGGGCCCAGCTGGGAGGGGCGGGGGTGCGCTGCAGGGGTGTTCTGGAGAGCAGGTTTGCTGCTGCGAGCCCCACTACGGCTGAGGTGGGGGTTCGGCCAAGGAAACCCGGAAGTGGCTCCCGGGCCTCCACCCAGGCTGTCGCCGTGGGAACAGAGGGTCATGTCAGGTTGACCCGGGGCCATGTGGGACAGACTGGCGTGAGCGATGAGTGCGGGAAGGGGCGCGTACGGAGCGGGACCCAAGGCGGGGCCCCCGCAGCCCGATGCCTCCTGGGTGAGGGAGGCGGCGGAGGCCCCTGACCGCTGTCGGCGTTCGCTGTCCTCCTGCACACCCCATACTGAAATCTGTGGGTGGGCCTCTGGGTGCTGAGGAGCCGCCCTGGGCTCTTCATGCCAGGGGGCCGAGCTGCTTGCCAGAGGGCCAGCCAGCGAGCGTCCCGTGGATCTGCCTTTGCAGTGAGGTTGGTGCCCGTACGACTGTTGACAAAAGCAGGTGGGGGCTGGACTCAGTCCCCAGTTGGCCGACCCTGGGAACCCAGCAGGACACGGGCTATCCGGTCTCGCCAGCGAGACTACCTGACAGAGCCCGCTCTCCCGCGTCAGTAGGCAGCGGGCGGGCGGGCTCTCCCGCAGGACCGCACAGGCAGCAGCGGCCTCAGGCGGGTGCCGACGCGCCCGGTCCTGCAGCGGTCCCGCGCCCCGGCTGATGCAGGCGGGGCTGCCCGTACTCCGGCCTCTTCAGCCAGGATGAAGCTGAGCAGTCTGGCCCAGCACCCTGCCGGCACCTCTCCCCAGCACTGGAAAACATTACCCTGCAGCAGCAACGTCTTATCCTATTAGTACAACTTAATGTGAACAAGGAATGCGTCATAAATATTCATGGAGGGCTATTAAAATGCATAATTAATTGGTGTAGGGATTTTAATAACTGTATTAGTGGTGTGTTGGGGGAGGGGCATCCCTATTTTTGTAATTTCCACTGGAAGGAGGCCAGGGCTGGGTGAGGGGGTTCCAGAACGGGTGGGGCAAGACCCCGCGCGCTCTGCCAGGTGCTTGCTTGTGCTCTTGTGGAGGCTCATTGGGTCCCTTCATCACCGCTGGACCAGGGCAGGGGTGGCCTGAGTCAGGTGTCCCTCAGAATACAGGTTGACCCTGGGCTTGGAAGGTGGCTTCACTGCTGTTCTGGGTGTCAGTGGCTGCTTGCAGCGGGGCAGGAGACAGCAGACAAGGGGACCTCAGAAGCAGGCTCAGCACAAGCTGGCACTTGGCCACCTCCCAGGTCACTAACTTGGAGCTGAAATTGGGTCCAGGACCTTTGGGTGCAGACACCCCAAGGTGGCACATGCTGGCTGGATTCCCAGAGACCTTGGGGCCCCCTTCCCCGTCTGCATTGTAATCACAATGGAAATTTTTGATTAGAAAACAAAGTATAAATGAGGTATATGAATATTCATTAGAGTAGGAGCTTGGTATGCATAATTATGTAAATTACACAGCAATTAAACACCAATGGGGGGGTGATTAACACAAAGGCACAAAATGAAAGGAGTTTGAAAGAAGTTTCTGGTACAGATGGGCAAGAAGGGTGGGAGGTGAGGGTAGAGGGCTTGGGTGCCCTGTCCAGCTGTGGAGGAGCACTTCCGCCCAGCACCCTCCTCCATCCCGTTCCCCCAGCCTAGCCTGACTTTGGAGACTTCAGGTTCAGAGTTGGCTGTGGACCCTTCCTGCCCTATAAAGTAGGGGCTGTTCAGAACACCGCTTACAGAAGAGGCAAACTGAGGCACACGGGGGGTTCGGGAATGCCTCCCCTCTGCTTTTCCAGGTTGTGTGCTCTGTGACCTCAGAGATGGGGCAGGGCCTCCTGCCCCAGAAAGGCTCCTAGTGCCCACTGCTTGCACAGTGAGGAAGATTCTGGAGCCCTGGGCGGCTGCCTGCCTTTGAAAGTGTTCAGAGAGATAAGGACCCCGCCCTGCCTCTGCAGACCAAGGTTCTGTTCCCCTGCGATGTTAACCCCTGCCACACCGCACTTTGGGCCTCGTGCCTGGCGGGTGAATAGAGGCCCCTGTTTGTTTACGCTTCTGTCTGAAGCGTTTGGAGTGATGCCACCAGGGCCAGCGGCTCTGCAGTCAAAGGTAGCTCCTGCTGTGATTTCAGCGGCGCTGGCCCTGCCTCCCACGCTGGCAATGAGCCCCTCGCCCTCTGCGTGTTGCCCTTGTGAGCTGTTCACTCACGGGCAGGAGAAGCTGCTGTCCAGCCTGGCATGGCCAGCCCTGGGGCTGTGGGGAGGAGGCTCAGTGTGAGGAGTCGCAGTTCTGCCCAAGGCAGGCTTGGTGGCTAGACTTTGATGGGCAGGAGTTGGTCAGCGGGTTAGCTGGTAGAGGTTTTGTTTTTTAAAAGATGTATTCATTTATGCACACAAGAACTAGGGTATAGGCTAGAAGCGCGGTTGGATGTCTGTATGAGAGGACTCACCTGACACGGTGGGGAGCAGAACAGGTAGATCCACTGAAATCCACTGCCGAGGGGAGCAGCGGGGAGACAGGAGAGGTCTGCTGCACCCTGTGGGTCACTCCCTGGCTGTGGATCGAACTCATGCTGCAGGGGCTGCGGACAGCTTCACAGCGCTGGGACTCTACCCCTCGCCACCAGGGAGGCCCCAGCTGGTTGACATTTTTTGAGTGTACACAGATACTCTAGCACACCTGTCAGGGTGCCGATGCCTGGGGCGGGCTGTCCTGCTGGCGTCGGTGTGGACTGAGGGCTGGGCCGGGTGAGGGCGGCGTGGCGAGGCGTGTGCCTCCCTCCGCAGCAGCGTGCCCTGAGCAGGGCAGGGGTCACCATCTGTCTTCCCACTCTGCAGGTCTGGATGACCGGCCCAGCTCGGGCTCCTGGGGTGCTGGCGACCAGAACAGCTCCTCCTTTGATGCCAGCCGGGTGAGGAGCCGTGGTGACGCAGAGGCGCTTGGGTCTCTGGGGGAGGGTGTAGGAGGCCTCCAAGGCTGTGGTGGGAGACAGCCCCCAGCAAGGGCTCCAGGGCTGTGGCTCTGGTTCTGGTTCTGACTTGACTTGGGCACTCACAAGCATGCCTGCTTCCTGAGCCTGTTCCCCAGCTATGAATGGGGGTGTCCCCAGCTCTCCTGACCCCACCTTACTTCTCTGCAGACTTACAGTGAAGGTGCCCACTTTGGTGAGTCCCACCCCAGCCTTTCTTCGTCCACATTCCTGGGTCCCGTGCTCGGAGGTGAGTGTCCCGCGGTGGGTCTGGGGCTGTGGCCACGGGCCCGGCGCTCATCAGGGAGGCATGCAGGGTCTGCACTGCCCCCATGGTGCTGAGACTCTCCCTCACCGGGTGTTAGCAGCCGAAAGCAATTTGGGGCCTGCTCCCCATTGGGCTCCCTGCTCCCCAGCAGGTAGACAGGAGTCCTGCTGACGCGGGCATCAGAGCGGGTCTCTCGAGGGTGGCCGTGCCAGGGCCCCTGCTGAGCTGGCCCTTCTCTGTTTGGGGGAGTCTTGGGAACCACCACACAGATGTGACTCCTGGAGGCGTCAGGCCTGCTGCTGTGGCTCAGCCCCTTCGCGCAGCTCCGGGGCCTTGCGTCCTTAAACCCCAGCCCTGGTGACCCGAGACGAGGCCATTCCGGTGACCGTCCCCTCCGTGGTGACTGATGGCACCTCGTTGGCTGCTGCAGAGCTGGATGTGTGCATTATGGAAATGATGGGGAAACTGAGTCCCCAGGTGGGGGCCAGCCTTTGGCCCCGAGAGGAGGCAGTGTCCCTCACCACAGCGCGTTTGTGCCCATTTCCCAGACAAGACGGGCAAGGCCCAACCCCCCGACTTGGCCATTGCCCAGGGCGGCCTCCATACCTGCAGGGTTCCCTGACCCTCCCTTCTTCCACTCTCCCCTACGGGCAGCTCCCATTCCGAGCCTGCTCAGCAGGGCCCCGAGCACCGCAGTGTCCGGACCCCGCACTCTGGAGGTCTCGGAGACAGGAGGGCAGTGTGGTGTTCAGGCATCGGCTGGGAGCCGGCAGGGCCGGTTTCTTCACCCCTGAAGGAGACCAGCGGGGCAGCAGGGCCCAGCAGCCCAGGGCAGGGTCAAGACTGGGCACCTGCCAGCCCAGCCCCTGCTGGGCTCCCGGCTGGGTTCTCAGGCACGCGTCCTCCCAGAACCGCAGCTTCCTGTGGCCGGGGGAGTGGCGCCCGCGCGGGGTAGCCGCGCTTGGGCCTGGCCCACGGCTGACGGGAGCGCGCCACCCCGGCTGAGCCGGAGTCGGGTGACTCCCCTCTGGCCGCCCTAAGCGCGTCATCTGCCCAGGAGGTCGTGGAGGGAAGTGGCCTGGCGGGTACGGCCCGTGGGGCACCCCACCTGGCCCTGACACCGAGCACAGCCCCCAGCTTTTTTCCAGACGTCTCAACGAAATTGTCCTACTTTTGAAATGAACCTGGAGACTCCCCCTGCTCTGAGGACAGTCCTAGGCTGCTGCTGAGTACCCTCACAGCAGGTGGTGGCGCCTCCCTGTCTCCCTGGGCTGGCACCAGCCCAAGCCGGAGACAGACTGGCTGAGGGGCCGAGTGCTCCCCAGAAGCCCCTCTCCTCGGAGACCTGGGTGCCGGGCTCTGCAGGGGCTGGAGCCCGCGGCCGGGCGCTGAAGCTCTGGGACACCAGACCTGGCTTGTAATACCCTGGGCATCTAATACCCTGGGGACCTCGAGTCCAAGGCTTGGGGGCAGTGGGTGGCCCTGAGCTCAGCACCGCCTCGCCTAGGGTCAGGGGTGTCAGCGCCGTGACCTCCGCTTGTCCGGGTCCCCGTCGCGCTGCGCTCGCGCACTCGGGCGCCTGCTGCCCGCGAGAGGCCTGCCCAGGCGCCGCGGGGCCTGAGCTGTCTCCTCCCACCAGGCAAGAGCAGTGAGCGGAGCGCCTACACCACCTTTGGGAGAGACTCGGGCGTTGGTGGCTTGACTCAGGTGAGGACACAGCCCCTGGGCACCCAGAGGGCAGGGTGGGCAGCACCTCACTTTCCAGACTGGAGGGGATGCACATCGAGGTGGGACCCCGTTGGGGTGCCCCTCTCCCATGGGTCTTAACAAAGCAATTCATCCATTTGCCCCTTTGATGTGGGGGTTGGTCTGTGGCTCATCAAGTTCTGGTCACTCAAGCAGCTGAGATAGGACCTTGCCCTGGGTCAGGCCAGGTGTGAAATGAGCAGAGGGGAACCAGGGAGGTCTTGGCCCCCAACCCGTGGCCCTCCCTTCCTGGGTACCACTGTGCACAGCCGGAGGGCTAGGGGAGACGCCCCCCGGTGCCAGACAGGACACTGCTGCCTGCCCTGGCTCCTCCCTGGCTGACCGCGTGGTGCAGCCTCGGCGCCTGCACTCTGGCCTCTCCATGCAGAACCCGCCATCCGGGCCACAGAGCTCCACAGAGCCCTCTCTCGGCCGCGACCGGCCACAGAGTCCCCAGTGTGGCTCCCGACCCCCTGGGCCCTCACCCCCGCGCTAGGGGACCTCATTTGTTCCCATTGTTTACTCTCCAGAGCCTGTTATGAAAGAAATGGTGCAGCTTTTGGTCCCACAGCGCAGGTCGCGGAAACACGACTCCCCGTGACACGGGTGTTGGGGTCACCCCTCACGGTCCAAGTGGCATTCGCCGCCTCAGCTGTCCTCTTTCTTGACCGATCTTGAGCTGGGGCCAAGCACCACCCGAGCTCTACTCAGGTCTCCTCACGTCCTCCCCCAGGCTGGCTTCCTCCCCAGCGAGCTGACCCTCGGCAGCCCCGGGCCGCTGTCCCCCTCAGGTGTCAAGGGTGGTTCCCAGTATTATTCCTCCTACCCCGGGCACCCTCGGCGGAGAGCTGCAGATGGCAACCTGGGTGAGTGGTGACCCAGGGGCTGGGAGGACGGCAGGGAGGGGTGGGCACTGGGAGGGGTGGCAGTGAACCAAGAAAGGGACGAGCGCGGTCGAGGCCGAGGTCTGCAGGCTCCCGGAACACCCCGTTAGTGCACAGGATGGGGGCCGCGGGCCCGGGCGCCCGCCAGCCTCTGGGCATCACATTCTCGTCAGCCTGCCCGGACTCCACCTGCGGCCGTGGGCATTGCTGACTGCGTGCTGCAGGAAGCCCTGTGCCCAGGACTCCCGGGGGCACTGCGCAAGCCCTGGCAGGAGCACAGCAACGGGCTGGTGGCATGCCCAGTCGGCCCCAGGCAGGACCCTCGCGAGCTCCAGGCTGGGTGACTCCACCTCGGCGGCGTGAGCACCTCAGTCAGGGCTGTGCACGTGGCCGCGGGCGCCCCACGGTGCCCTGGGGGGTGGGGAGCCTGCAGGCGGGCTCCGGCTCCGTGAGAGAGGAGAATGGCCTGGGCGCGTGCTGGCAGAGTGGAGGCCCGTCTCCCAGCCCACCGCCGCCCGCCCATGGTCTCGCTGGCCTTGCCACGTGCGCGTGAGCTGAGGCTTTGCCATTTTATGAAAAAGGAAGCTCAGGATCGTTCTCTGAGGTGCAGACCTGGGGCTCTCCCGACCCCTCCCCAGTGTCTGGCGTGTCCCAGGCCGCTCGGCCCCCCCTTGTGCCTCCCTGCTGGGTGGGGCCTGTGAGGTGTTCACTGCTCCCGTTCCTGACAGATGTGCAGCCCAAGAAGGTCCGGAAGGTTCCTCCAGGCCTCCCGTCCTCGGTGAGTCATGGGCTGGGAAGGGACCCCGAATTCAGGAGCCTCTTGTGCCCGCAGACTTGTAGGCCGGTGGCACACGGACACACCGTTCAGCCCATGGGTCTCAGCGAAATCCCACCCTCTCCTGGACTTCTCCCGCAAGGCGAATTCTTCCTTCCTAGCCTCGCCCTCTCTCGCTCCACAAGAAGGCCACCCCCCGCGGCCCAGTGCCACAGGCGGGGGGTGGAGCTGCGGCTAGAGGCGCTGTTGGGGCTCTTGAGGGTCTCCCCTCTGCTGTGCGCTGGGGTTCAGGCTGCCCAGTGTCCCCCCGCCTAGCTGGCAGCTCGGTGCCAGGCCGTTAGTGGCTCACGGCACTGCACCCGAGACTTACGTTGGCAAGAAAGGCAGTTTGCTGGACTCCCCGCCTGGCCACGGGACAAGTCTGCCCGGTACTCACCGACGCCCCAGAGCCCAGGCCCTGTGCTCAAGGCTGACCCGCAGCTGGAGGTGTACCCTGAGCTCAACTCGACTCCCTCTTCTCACCTCATTCCCCATCCTGTTTCCTTGAACGTCAGCTCAAGAGCCCCCTGCACCCACTTTGTCCTATCCAACATTCAGACCCCACTTTGTGTTGCGTTGCTGGGACGAATACTACAGAGTCCAGCACTTTTCTGTGGCTCAGACTCCCAGGCCGAGTTCTGACTCGTCAGAAATGCTTCTGGTCAGAGAATCCTCTGGAGCAGCCAGGGTGTTACGGGAACCCAAGGCTGCGGCTGGGCCACCTACCCTGGGGCGGTGCCCATCAGGCCCCAGGCCGCGGGACGAGGGAGGACCCAGTGCTGGGGGCAAGGAGGAGGGAAGCTGGGCTTGGGTCAGAGGGCATAGGCCTTTCGGGCAGGGAGTCCTGTAAAGCCCTCGCTGGGAGCTGGAACTGGGTGCAGGCGGCGTGGGGCCGGGGCGACAGCAGACGTTGGACATGGACCATCCAGGCTGCAAGTGAGGGCGGCTGTAGCGAAGGGGTTAGGCCAGCGAGAAGCAGGTGGGCGGCGTCAGCTGCTGGCGAGGTGGGGGGGCCGGGGCCGGCAGCCCCGCCCCGCCCCGGCCTGACTCCCCCCACCTGCAGGTGTACCCACCCAGCTCAGGCGATGACTACGGCAGGGACGCGACCACCTACCCGTCCACCAAGACCCCCAGCAGCGCCTACCCTGCCCCCTTCTACATGGCAGGTACGTGGGGGCTCCGGGGCCAGGCCTGGGGCCCTGCCGCCCACCCACCTCACCGTCCTCCTCTCCGCAGATAGCAGCCTGCACCCCTCAGCTGAAATCTGGAGCTCTCCAGGCCAAGCCGGCTTCGGAGCCATGCTGGGTGGGGGCTCCTCCCCCCTGTCCCTCCCGCCCGGTGGCAGCAACTCAGTGGGCAGCGGCAGTGGCAGCGGGTTCGGAGGCCTGCACGAGCGCATGGTAGGCCCTGCCAGCTGGGGTGGGGGTGGACACTTGGCTGCACCCCGTCTGACCCCGCTGCTTCATCCTTTACCCACAGAGCTACCAGCTGCATGGAGCAGAGGTCAACGGTGGGCTACCAGCTGTGTCCACCTTCTCCTCGGGTCCCACAGCCTCATACGCCAACGTCTCTGGCCACACAACCCCTGTCAGCGGGGCCGAGAGCCTCATGGGTACAGCCCCCTGTCTCTGCCGCAGACCTGGGTGGATACGGAAGTACTCCTGGACCCCAGGAGCTGGGCCCTTGTTCTAAAGGGTGTTTGTCCCGGGCCTGCGCGGGCAGGCCCCTGCCCACATTTGCAGACCACTCTTCGGGCTTTCATCTTACAGCTGGGAAATAGGCTCTCGGGCTTGCATCGGGGACTGCTCACCCAGGCTCCG